TCCGATATTATAGTCAATTACACAGATCTGAAGAAAGAGGAAAAGATGTGTCCTCTTGTCTCTTGTTTGGTCACAAAAGAATTGTGATTTAAGTTATTAAGAGATTCTTTTGCAAATGACTCAGAGAACCCATCACCAATTTAATACTACTCTAGTCAAAGAAAGTAATATAATTCCATATGGATAGTCCTTACCCATATGCCTCACTTAGAAACGATGAATCCAATATAACAAGTAAACAGACACAATGGCATATAAATCACTTGGTCTTCTTAACGATTATATTATCAATCAGAAGCTTATATAAAGTAAAATAAAATAAATATAGTGAGATTTTTCTCTATTGAATTAATCGATACATGAGAGTGGATTTGGACATTTGCGGCTCTCTTTCCAGGACAGCGATCACATCTTTCGCAGAGATTGTCCTCACCTCTTTTGGCTGATTCGACGAACCTTGGTTCTTTCCTAGTCTTCTACCACCTGCAAACAAGAAACAAACAATAAGCTTTATATTATGTATCAACCAATATCGCAAGGAATGAATATGATTGATAGCTGCAAAAGTGGAACCATAAGATTTTACTTTATGAGACAACTAGTTATCACAAGGAGCCAGCCATATTCATGCCACGATCATCCCAATGTGATACATATTCTTTCTACTTCCTACTTTTAGGAAACTAGTTATGATTTCCATTTCTTTTCTGGCCTCCAAGAGGGTTTTATCAGTTGAAAACCAAGGGAAAAGCTTTGGAACTTTGTTTTTCAGATTTGCCAAGGGAAACAGTTTGATTTCAATAAAGAAGACCTTCGGGGGGTTTCATCTCGTTTGTAAATAAAGGGGTAAACAGAATGGACTCACCAGTTCCAGAAAACCGTCGTCCACCATCTTGCCTGTCCTTGGAGTTTCTTCCTCCACCTGACGTAGCTTTCTGGTTCCCATCTTTACCAGCTTCACTTACAGATTTCTGACGAGCTTCTGCCATTAATTGCCATTTTAAAAACGCATCATCTCCTCCAACAGCAGCACGAGCAGCAACATTTGCAGCTGTGGTTCTCATTTTGTCGTCATCCTCTTTGTTTCCCTTCACATATCAAAAAAACTTCAAACAACATTGCAGAGGTAATTTTAATGTGTCCCCGCAAATGTATCATTTATATCTCTATACCTTCACACCCTTTGAACGGTTATCTTCTTTCTCTTTCTCACTATCAACTCCATCACCTTCTTCACTCTGCAGCCAAAACAAAATAAAAAGGGCAAACATTGCTATACGAAACAAAGCTAAAAGGGCAAATGTTGCAATGCCTGTGTGCTATCATAAGATTAAGAACATTGATAACGAGCTCAGAACTGACCTCACTCGGTTTCTTCAGCTTTTCTGCTTCAGCCTGTTTCTTCTCCCATTCCTCTTTCACTTTCTGATTCATTTCATTGATTTGTAGCCGAATATCTGACGTGATAAAGGTTCGGTGTCTAGATTTCTCGGTATCAACCCGCTGCATAAGCACTTTTAGCTTGACAAAGATTGAATCTAAACAATGTTGAAGTAGGTAGTAAGAGAAAGTTAGGCTGACCTGCTTTGACAATCGAATTATATGAGAAAGCAGTCCTCGCATCCTTTCCTCCACACACTGAGAGCGCAAACGCATGAGAAAACAAACAAATAAAAAAAGCCTCAAGTACTGAATGCAGACAGAAAATGCACAATAAGTTGACATCTCACCAAAGACAAGCACCGTTCGACATCATTGCTTATATGCTTTAACCCAACTTTCGCCACTGTCAGATATGAAAGGCAATATATAAGCTTCTTCTCAAAGTGATTCAAAACTTTAAGCATGATAGAGTTCAAAAGAATAAGATGTAGGAGGTTTCTCAACTAATTTCCGCTAGTTTTTTCTGCAGCGGACTTTTCTGTAAGATCAATCTTTCTTCCTCTTCGTGCACAATTCTCCGGGATGCTTCAGAAACACGACCATCCTCCTTACCCCCAGAGAATAATTGTTCTTCCTCTTCCTAAACCAAATGCAGACCAATTTTTATTTATTTATTCAGTACTTCACACCCAGATTTTATATTAAACCCAAAGCTACCAATAATACGCACCCTGAGATTAACACCACTGACTGCAGTAACATCATTGAGCTGTTCAATACTTTGATCCGAAGAATTTCCCGCTACTTTTTGCTTCTTGCTGCAGGTTCAAACATACAAAAACGCTATGATTATAATTTTACATGGGGAACCAAAAAAAAAGTTATTCAAGTAAGCTGAAAGAATCCACATACAAGAAACTCTTAACTATAATTTTAAATAGCTAATAAAAAAGGAGCAACATAAGAGAGACCTGAGCAGCTCAATTACCTTGCTGGTGGGGGTGAAGAACCTAATGTGTCAAGAGGTTTCTTCTGACCAACAGAAGGCTTTTTAGGTGGCGTCCTACCATTAACTCCTGCTTGAAAGGTACCCGATGAGCCACGAGAATTCATCTGATGGATACACAAACAATTTTTCAATGAGAAAAACTGCCGAGAATCGGAAAAAAAAAAAAATCCATTTACGTCGAGTTGAAGGTTGTCCAACATAGTAAGGAGAATATTAAAGGGTTGTTGAAGTACCACGGTTGCCCCAAGAGTTCAAAGAGAAGAGACAAACAAAAAACATTTTGAAACTTATAATAAGAAAATGATATATTAACAGCTTTCTTACTTCTGTGCTAGTGTCAAGTTGGTTTGTCATGGAAGGAGAAACAGAGCTTGCATGTGCCACGTTACTAGGTGTGGATAAAACCATTCTAGAGGACTCCTTCTCTAATCCCTCGTTTGAAGTCCCTATGGCTGCATTATTATGTTCAACACTTTGTTCAACTGATTCCTGCTTCACATGGGACACTGATGATCCTTGACCAGGTACAGAATTTAAATGCAATGAGGAGCTGTTCTGGAAGTGTGATGTAGTGCCACCTTGAACCCTATTAGGATCATTTACAGAAGTTGGCCTCTCAAACTTGGGCATAGTCATCATGTTTGTGGTAGACTGCGGCGGTCCTCCAAGACCTGTTGATCCCATAGTCTGGTTATGTGCCACATGTCTCATATGGGAGTCATGAGCGAGTGGTCTCAAAGAGGAACCAGAAGCATTGGTGGTTGGCCCCGGGTATGAGTGAAAATTACCAGAGCCAGTATACATAGGAAAAGAAGTTGATGGAAGCTGCATCTGGTGCTGCGGATGTTTGGTAAGTCCCTGCACATGAACTGAACTCCCTAAGGTGCCTGATGTCGAGGAAGGCAGTTGGTTAAGGTGGACTGCACGAGGATCAGACTGGGATTTTTGATTACTGATTTCTGTGATAGATTAGGTTGAATTAGGTAATGGTTTTGGCTCTTACATGTAAATTGTAAGACATATCTACAGAAACTATACTGGTTTTATAATAATCGTGAAAGAAAAAGAAAAAATGCATCAGTGAATAATAAATACCAGTACCAGTAGAAGGAGCTTGAATTCCCATTTTTACCTGGTTATAGTTAATCTGAAAACAATGAACACACATTACAAATAAATAAGGACTAAACTTGTACTGCAGACACACTCAATGCCACCCATGCTAAAATGCGCACTGAGAGATAAAAGTATATATTCCAAAATTCAGTTGACTGAAAGATAACCAAGCTCATGTTAAACCATTCTATGTGCATACTGCATACAAGCTAATAAAAAGAATAATCTACAGGGATGCAGCTAAATGTAAAGGACCAAAGTTTTCAAAGACAATTCCAACATGAATTCCTTTCGCAAACTTATACCCCAAGTCGAATACATGGTATTAGTTACTACATACACAAAATATGCAAAATGGTAATACCTGCTGTAGTTTACTAACTGCCAACCTGAGCATCTGATCACCAACAATATCCTTCATATGTCGTGTGAACCCCTCTTTGGGAATTTCATTTTTCTGCAAACAAGTACCAGAAGATAGCAATGATAATGCAATAGCTTTTGAACAGAACGTCAAGTGATTTCACAGATAGGCATACCTTAAGTCTAGCATATAAGTTACGGAGCTGCATTGCTCTATCTGGATCAAGTTGGGACACTAAAGCAGGAAGCAAAGCAGCAAATGGTACTTGCTTAAGGTTGCGGTTCATAGGGTTAACAGGCTGTTCCACTCCCCGAGCCTGTTGACTACTCATCTTTTGCAGTTTTGCATACTGAGATTCATTCTCTTGATTGTGCGATCTTTCTAATTCATTACCACTGGGAGTCTTTTCAGACATCTGCAACCCAGTTGTTTGGGAGGCCTGTGAAGGATTCTCCCAGAGTTGACCTGCTCGATGAAGGTCTTGAGGCTGGCTGTGTTGTAAATGAGATTCATTTGTGCGCTTTAGATCGTGTTGGTGTTGACTGTCTAAAGCTGATCCTTGTTGCTCCTTCATCTGAGTACTTTCAAGGCTGTGTTGCGTCTGGAGATTGATGTTAGCATCTCCAAGACCATTCTTCCATGTTGCAAACTGCTGGCTGGGAGACTCGTTGTTTCCTATAGATATTAATTTAAGAAATTGATTGATGCAACTCGAAATCCCAAGTAAAACTGGAGGAAAAAATCAGACAATTCCCACATGAACCAATTTTTATTGTAGTAGATGATGCAGAAAATGTATGTTTGATAGCCCTTAAACACCTACCCACAGATCAAAACCTAATTGTATTTCAATATATAACACGGACAACCCACAAAATATTATCTTTGTTTTAACCAATAGTGCATCTGAATCCCTCCATAAATTCAAGAATTTGATACAGGGTTCCTCATACCAATCCAAATACTAAATTTTTTCCCTGGTTTCTAATACTTTCTGCAATTTATGCGTCATAAGTTTAAAAAGTTCAGCTTTCATCCTCCACCATGGCCATCACAAAGCAGTGTACACGTATAATCTCAGACGTAGATGTTAACTAACTAGCCCTATTTTACAACGAATGAATTTGTAGAGAGAATGAAGAAATTGAAAAAGGCGAGACAAACTCCCCAACGCCAAATTTGAAAAAAGCATACCAGGGTTCGTCCCGAGTGGCGGTGAAATTGTCATAGAACCTTCAATATCCCGATTGAGAGCGGCCTGGAACGCGTCGACGTCAGCTCCGGAATGCATCGATTCATCCTAAACCACACGAATCACCGGAAAATCAAAATCACGACGACGCTCCAGCCACATATCAATATCACAACAGATAAATGGTTGTGAAAAGGTATGAGAATTTAGAAAGCTAACCTCGTCTTCTTCGAGAAGCTTGAAAATTGAGGGATCCATGGAAAAAGCTTTGGCTGGGGAAGGAAAGAGAACTCCGCCAAGAGGAATGAATTATAAGGAAACAGGTGTTAAGTTTAAAATTTCCAATCAGTCCTTCAATATAGACTATATTGCAGATGAGTCCTTGAATAAAAGAGTAATTAGAGGTCTCGCATTTGGTTTGACTCGGTTCGGTTATTTCCAAAACCTCATGTCGTTTATTGGTATTGTTTAAGAACTGTACGTCGTTTAGTGTATGAGCCAAAACGTTGTCGTTTGCTCTGTTGCGGAGAGAGATCCAATTTTCATAAAACATTTTCTCTCAAATACCAACCTCCAACACTAAAAAAATTCTCATATAACCCCATAACCCTTACTAAAGTGGTAAATTGCTAAAATAACCTCAAATTAATAATT